TTAGACAGCTTACAACTTCGGTCCGTTTTAGTAAATGGAACTCTTATACAATGTATCATACAAATTGTTTCGCCGAAAGTAGATGTGTATAAGAGACAGGTGTAGAGGTGGTCGAAGATGCGCCACGCTCCGGAGGGCCTGTCGTCGAAAATTGTGATAAAATCGCTGAATTGGTCGAAAGAGATTGGCATAGTAGCAGCGTAGCATCGGTCAAGAGCTGGGCATGAATTCAATAAAAATACCGCAAAAATACCGCAAGACCTTTTTGACACCTAATATATTTTCATGCTTAYAAGTCACTTGCCAACTTAAGGTATCAGCCGTCTAACTTAACTTTATCACCTATGTATATAATCACAATTATTTAATTTTCCTCTTCTCTTCCATTACAGACATTCCGAAAATCATTGGTGTCAGTGACATCACAGAGAATAAGAAGATATGGCGCGCTCTAATTGGCGAATTTTTGGGCACCTTCTTCTTGGTCGCCATCGGTGTTGGCAGTTGTACTGGCGGTGATGCGTACACACCATCGGTGGTACAGATCGCTTTCTGCTTCGGTTTGGTGGTGGCCACCATGGCGCCTGTCGTTCTATAAATCAAATACTCTACTACTCCAGTGTCACACACACACACATTTGCAGACATCGCGCGTCGCGTAGTTTTCCACGAATAAAATAAAAAAATTGTATCTTCATTTGACGTGCATTTAAAACGACAACTGTACATTCATAGCATTAAATTTTTGTGTGTTTTGGAATGTTTAAACAAATGTCAAAATTCACGCCTGTCAATCAAAGCAATCACTTAGTCTTTATGRGTGTTAAAACAAATATGAAAATTTGTGGTATTTTGCGCTTCAATTTGTGGTGAAATATCAGAATTCATATACAAAGAATTGTCTGTTTATTTGTATAAATAAAGTTAGTTATTGCTATCGGTAGAACACTACTCATTGTCTTCAAGCGCCAAGTCAAGATACTAGACTTTGTTGATTGATTTGCTTCACAGCAATTCATCGGTTGCATGCCGGAACATCAAAATGCTTTTACTAGCCCTAATAACTTTGGTGGTCTTGCGTTATGAAATTTTGCTTTGACAAATAAATTCTTTGTGTTGTTTTGTTTTGCTGTCATTTGAAACGCCAATGAAATGGATGATGGCATAACTAATATTTTGTGGGTTTGATGAAGTGGTGAATG